GTCGTGGTGTGCTGTTTAGTTATAAGATATGGAGAGGAAGAGTAGAAATTAGCAATTTCCGTTGAAAATTGGAGGGACTTATAGAGAGGTTGATTTTGCTGGCGATGGTACTGGTTTGTAGAACAGTCTCAAAAGATGTTTTACAAGTTTTAGCTGGCAGGCTTTCCATAAACTTATTATTTATTTATATACTATCCCTTAATAATACTATCCTAATACTATCCCTTTTGTAGGTTCAAAGCGGTGCAGAAGTTTATAGCAAGAGGTTATGTCCGAGCTGAGGAGTAATTTGTGATAAGGCACACAAAACTGCCTCCTTTTGTATGTATAAATGAAGTGGTGTGAGACCGAATAGGGCTTCAAGAGCAGCCGTCGGACAAGATCTCATTGCACCCGTTATATTAAGGCATGCTAATCGCTGGATCTGTGCCAGCTGTTGTTGTGCTGTCTTATGATTTGTTTTAGGCCATTAAACCAGTCAGGCATAGGCGATCATGGGTCTGATTATTGCCACGTAGGCCCAATGAGCCATTCGTGGTTTGAGACCTCAGTTCCTTCCGAGGAGCCTGCGGCAGATCTGGTTAGCCATAATGGCCTTCTTCCTCAACTTGTCTATGTGGGAGTTCCAGTTTAATTTACTGCCTAGTATTACCTCTAGGTATTTAACTTCTGTTTTGAGGTTAATAGTTCTGCTCTCAATTGTAGCTTCCTTCTCTGAGTGAAAGGGACTATTTCGATTTTGTTTGGATTGATGCTAAGCCCATTGCTCCTGCACCAAGTGCTGGTAAGTACTAGGGCTTTATGCATTAGTTGAGTTATGGTTGTGTCATATTTACCTCGAATTGTGATTACCAGGTCATCAGCATACCCCTGAATCATGAATCTATTTTTTGTTAAGGTGTTCATCAAGGCATCAACTACCAGGCACCATAGGAGAGGTGAGAGCACTCCCCCGTGGGGACTTTTTCGATAGACTTGGTTGCTGTGAAGACCTACTTAGGATAACAAGTGTACCGCTTGATGCAAAGTAATGGAAGAACATTAGATATGTGTAGGTTTTGTGCTGACCGGGAACGAGTAAACCAAAAACCATAATGGTTAAACTTGTGGTTTTGGGTCTGGAGGAAGTGGATGAGTGTAGGTATGGAGAGAGAGACTTTAGATAACACGTTACGGGGTTGTGTGTTGTATGGTACGTGTAGGGGGGAATTCCTGGATAGGCTAGGATTGATTGCAATAGAGGAGATACACTGACTCTGTATTTAGAACCTACAAAAGATAATATAAGTAAGATTAAGTCTGTTCATTGGGATGAATAATTCTGAAAACAAGCTAGTCATTTTGAATATTGTTTGCTGGCTTTATTGAAACTTATCTAGTGAAGAGTCGACTATGTATTGGTTCTGCCTTGAAAACTGAAACAAGTTTAAATTAGTCTATAAAATTATAATATTATATCTACAAAATTGCTGCAGCGCTGCGAAACGATTATTATGTATATGTTACCGGCAATCTGTATAATCCGGTATTCTATACAATACCTTGGCAACTTATAGAATACCTAAAACGTTTAGGTAATACATGAAATATTATTAATTTTATACTTTGCCTAGGTATTCTATAAAATACCGAATCTTTGGTATATCTTTAACTCTCGATCATACTCATAACCTGGAGAGTGAAGAGGATCTAGAAAATGTGATTAAGCCATCACCAAGTCCAATTCCCATTCCTTCAGAATCTTTAATATAGAGGTCACTCTCAAAGCTCAACATCAACAAAGCCCCATCATAGAAAGTTCTGAGATCCGTAATGAAGCTTCGAATACTCAAAGTGCGTTTGATGAACATGACGATGAACACATGACTATCCGAAGTGCCGAGATTCTTAATGAACCTGCGAATGTTGTAGGTCTTCCTTCTGATGTACATAGACAACCCTTAGATGTTCTAAATTTCGTATCAGAACGTGAGCAATCATTGGATTCCCCACTCTTGTGCTGTGTTTGTACTGAGGAGACAACGGGTTGGGTTGGATTGGTCATGTTATTTGTGCTGCCCCAAAGGAAGGTATGGCAGAAGGCTATGGTTCTAAAGTTGTTTGCCCATTATACTTAAAAACGCTTTAGCTGTAGAGAACTGCATCAGTTCCAAAGATAATTTAACAGAGCAAGCTCAGAAAATATTTAACACTTCTGAAAAAACAATTTCCCTTTGTGCCATTGTTCCGAAAGTCGACAGAGGTCAGGTGATGCTCGCAATATACTAATTGTAGTCTTACAAAAAACGGATGACGAATTTAATAAAACAGGAACAACGCTAGGTGTTGTAAAGAATTTGTATTCAAGACAGCACTTTACAGTTTGTCGTCAAGAACTACTTAAAAAAGAAGATGTCCGTAATCTAGAAACGACGCTCCGTACAGTTAGGAATCTGCAATTTACGGGGACAGGTCAGGGAATTATTAAATGTACTTGCGAAAAACATTGTGATACTAAAAAGTGTTCATGTCTTAAAAGTAAGATTTTATGCACTTCAAAATGTCACAATAGTTCCTCATGTAAGAATAAATAAATATATTTTTTTACTTACTCAATTCTGAGAGGCCAGTAGATCTACTATTACTTGATTACTTATAAGCAAAAGACATTATGTTAGTTAACCCAGAAAAATTTTAAGTTTAATGTAATTTAATTGTGATTTTACTATGGTTACAGAAAGGTACTAGGTGCCTTTTTTTGTACAATAACTTATATTAGATTGTAAAAAAGTTTATTATGAGTAAAAATTGATAAATACAGACCAAAATCTATTTATTTTACACATTGCCGATTGACCAACAGGTACTCTATGTAATCCCTACGAATTGTATACATTACCTAGGTAAAGTATCTAAGGGACAATAATCTTCATAATATTTCATACATTACTTGGGCATTGTATAGAGTACCTGAATTATACAAATTGACGGTAACATATATACCAAATAGCCATTTCATGATATTTGAAGGAAAATATATTTTAATTTAATTTTCGCAACACTTTTGTATTAAATCGTTACTTAACGATAAAGTGTGAGTGGTATTTTAAACATTAATTTTATGATTTTAGTTTACTCGAAAACAACATAATTAATTAATTAATTAATAGAGTTATTTTTCGTGCGCAAAACAAGTAATAATTTTCCTATGAAAAATAACGTCTAATCTATGTAATATCATCATGCACATTTTGTTTAACGTTTTGATCTTCGTTAATCCTGGTATTTTGGAAGCTAGGCTATAAATTATGTGATAAGTGTTTTATTACAAATTGTCGGAAAACGAATCGGTTACCACCAACGCATAAAAAAATGTCACTGCTATATAAACAAAGTAAATAAATACAATTTCGTTGAAACAAATTAATATAAATTAAAAGTTTCATTAATAACCATTCTCTTTTTTTAAGTTAATCTTTATAAGTTCGTGGATTGATAATAATGAGTAATTTTGAAATCGGAAAACCAATATACATTATTCAATAGATTTGAATCAATTCGGAAAATATTTGCATTTGAGTTTGAATATGCGATTAACCGCCGAAAGGTAAGAAATATGGAAATGTTTTTCGATTTATGATTAATTTAGATCAAATTAGATTCATATTTATGTTAAAAATGTGATAGTAAATACAGTGTTTCACAATGTTCCTCAAGATAATGAACTTGAGATTGTCTTTAAAAATTCAAACTTATATGGCGTAGATTTTGCGAGACTGGGAAATATTCGAGCTTCGATGTTCAAGTGACATTGTTAGCTTAAGGGTTTTTTGAAAATTGATTAACCGATTTATATTTCATACTAAACAATACTTCTCTCAGTTGTAATAGAACAGAGTTAGTAATCCGTTGGGACAATTTATGTTTGCACGCGTTCTCCCAGTTTAATTTTGTTACATCAGTAACATAACAACAAAATCTCAAAATATTTTATGATGTAAATAAATGGTTGGGATGCTCAATCGCAAATTAGTATGGTTAAGTGAAAATTTGTAAAACCACAAAGTACACCCATTAAAGTGTACTTCAAGTTTTTAATTGAAACGTCGGGTCTACATTTTACTGTCGTTTCTGTTTTCATGGGTTTCACTTAAAGTTTCAATTCCATCAAGCTCGCATTTTCCTGCTGTATAAATTATAAATATTAGGTACTCTACACTTTATCAAAATTAATTAAAAAAATTAAGAACTTTTTCAACACTTTAAAAAATAAGTAATAACAAATATCGCTGAAAAGAAAAGGTGAAATGGAATACCTACATTCTACGATCAATCAAACGTGACATCAATAATAATTTTTCCGCAATATATGGTTAGGATATATCGTTACCGTAATGATTAATTGAGTTTGATATTAATTATCTCTTTTGATACTACAGTTTCCTTTTTATCGATGATGTGTTACGTTATTCAATGAAAAATGTTGATAGAGTTAACACAACAAACACAAAGAGTTTTATCTAAAAGTTTCTCTTAATCGCATTTTTTATATAAACTCAACTTCGAAATAAATTTGAGCAAGTCGTAAAGTTAAAGTTTATTCATACGTATAAACAGCCCCCTTGTCTTAATTGTACAATCGAATTACTTATCTTTTAGGAGGCTAAAACATAAGTAATTAAAACGGTTTGTAACGCTTCACATCGACGAAATCTCATTCCATTTTCACATCCCATAACAATTCCGCGCTTCCTTCCGCAATAACAATACGAAATCTTAACGTTTCTCGTGTTTAAAGCCTTTTAGAGTGCACTCCCTTTGAGATTTCTCAAAGGTTCGAGCTAATAAGGATAATATGTCAGAAAGCATCGGGAGGAGGGGTTCGCATTTGAAAACAGAACAGGGGAAAAGTGCGCTATTTGGAAAAGCTCTAACACGCGCGCGTACAAAGTATGTCTCACGCAGGCGTGTACTTTTCAACCATTATGGTATAAAAGCTCCATCCACTTCATCTTCTTGTAGTATTTACCATTTGGGTGTTTGGTTACAATATGAATAGGTACGTTTTTTTCAATTTAATTTAATGATCTCAAAGTTTTCTTTTTCAATTTATTATAATTTATACTAAGAATTTTTGATATTTTAATTTGATAACAAAATTTAACTAATTAAAAATTTTGTAGTGTACTTTACTATTTATCATATTTTACCATTTGATATTTGACAAATTGTTATGGATTATCTTTCTTTATTCTGTTCGTTACATACCGAGAAATCTAGTACTACAATTAATTTCTTGCACAGAGAATTTAATTAAAAAAAATATCTTAATGGTTAAAATTTAAAGAAAACTTAATTAAAATAAAATTTAATTCAATTTATTTCATTGAATTCAATTCTATTTGGTTGATTTGGTTAAGTTAGGAAAAAGAAGTTTAATTATGTAGAGTTTGATACGCAATTAATCTGAAAGTCAAGAGATTTTATCGCGACTCCGGCATTGGGATATTTAAAATTCATGAATAACCGTTTTCATTTCAATGCCAAGTTGTTTAACTATACGAATTAATTTGTTATTATCTATATTAACGTAACCCTTTGTTGCCTGAGCGTATTAAGAAATGAAGAAAACAACATTCTCTAAATAGGGTAACGGTAAATCGAATGGAAAGACCGTCTTTCAAAAAAACGATTATCTATGTAAAAATAAAAGGATTGGTAACATTTTCAGATGCTAAAATTGTTTAATTTTTGCAATAATTAATATTAAAATTCAAAATTCCTTCTATAAAGCTTTGGTGACGTGTACAAGGTTTTCGCGTAAGATCAAGAAGACACAAACGTGCATCGTTCGGCTCTCTTCTTCTAACACATAAGATTCTCGTGGCATCTCGCTCATGCAGCTTTTATTGATTTTTATTTCAACCAACCACGTGCGAAACAACGATGACGTCCCAAAAGTTTTTTCAAATTTTCATTATTTTTAAAAAATTTTGTCGAATTCAACTATCGAATAAGCCAATATTTTCATAAAATTCTAGTATCAAGTAAATTAGACGTGTTTATAACAAAATTACTTTTTCGAGAAGTAACATTTTCTTAAAAATAATTTTACAAACTGATATCATGATAATCTGCATAACAATTTTTATACATTACAACATAAAAATACATTACATGTAGAACAGCTTGAATATGGTCGTGGCTGTACTTTCTTCACATTATAAACTTTAGACAAAATTTACAAAATGATTGCTCCGGTTAGATAGTCGAGATTGTCGTTGAATAATCAAATTTTCTTCTTTTTAAATGAATTATAGTAGAAGATTATTATACCAGTTGTAATTTAAGCAAAAATAATTCTATAAACTGTTATGTACTTTAAGTGGTCTTTAATTCTTATTTTTAGTCTTACTAGTTTCGGCACTCGGCCATCATCAGAGACTATATCAAATGTTATTAAAAAATTAAGATACCAATCATTAATATTTGATGACTATTACACAGGTATAAAACTATAACACAAATATGAAATCAATTTAAATAAAACAAAACGAAGTTACATTTCAAAAAGTCAAGGTCTTTTTAAGTTCTGTGTCTACGTATAAAAAGTGAGGTTTCGTCTTGTTATTGGAGTTCTTAAAGGTTTTTTATTTATAACACCTAAACTGTAAACAATATAAGGATTTATACAGGGCTTTTCAAAACTCCCGGGACGGAGCTATAAGTTTTGAACAAGTGCAGAAAAAATTTGAAAATTTGGGGATCACTAAAGAGTAATAAAAACTACATTCTTAGATAGTTTAGAACTTCCATGCAATGTGGAGTTTTTTTAGGGGATGACCATCCCTAAATTTTTAATTTTTATTTTAAAGGTAATGAAAAAAGGAATACAACCCCATAAACCAAAACCCGATATCTTAATTCTTTCAAGAATGAAAGAAATGTTTTCATGTTTTTTGCACGTTTATTACGATTTTTATAACAAATGTTCAAATTGTCGACCTTTTTCGGTCTGGCAATGACCCAAACGCTCATAAATGGAATTTTGAACCATCAGGAACATATCCCTAGTGATATTGGTGGTTTCTTCAAGTATGCGAATTTCCAAATCATTTAGTGATTTTGGTTTTGTTGCATACACTCCACTTTTCAGAAACTCCCAAAAGAAAAAATCGCGTGGTGTTAGATCAGGAGATCGTGTTGGTCACTCAATTTCATCTCTTCTACCAATCCAACGGTTTGGAAACGTGCGGCTTAAAAAGTCTCGGACTGCGCGACTAAAATGTGGAGGAGCACCATCTTGTTGGAACCACTTAATTGTCAATGCCATTAGGGCATACGGCACGTACACTTGGAACTACTTGATTTTTTAACAGTTGTAGATATCTGTCTCTGTCCAAATTTCCATTAATAAAAAATGGACCAATTACATTCTCTCTCATAATACCAGCCCATACATTAATTTTCTGCGGACTCTGAGTATGATCTTCTTTTATTAAACGTGGATTTTCGTCACATCAGTAACAACAATTGTGCCTATTAACCTTACCATTCAAGTAGAAAGTAGCCTCAAACGAAAATATGTGTCAACATCACACTTTTCACGTACTATTTCACAGAATTCTAACCTTCTTTCGAAGTCACCTTCGTTCAATTCCTGAACTCGGTGAAACTTACAGGGGAAATAGTTATTTCTTCTCAAAATTCTGTGGGAATAAGGAACTTGAAGGTTCTTCAATAAAAGACAGTAACACTTCTTCGGTTTTTTCTGGAGTTGTTGCAGATTTCGGTCTACCAGTTCTCGGAAGATCTTTCACAGTTCCCTGTTCTTGAAATTGAACAGTTTTTTCAACTGTTGATTTAGAAATCGATGGTCCTTGATGAAAAAAATCATTGAAGACGTGCATCTTGTTCTATCACCAAAGCCACGAATCATTAAAAGAGTGATTCTTTCTTTTTCGGTCACTATTTCGGGCGCTATTTTTGGAGTTAATAAAAGTAAAATTTATAAAACAAGTTTATTGATAACAGTCGAAAGAAAACTTCATAATTCTTGAAAGAATTAAGATATCGGGTTTTGGTTCATGCGGTTGTGTTTCTTTTTTCATTACCTTTAAAATAAGGTAAAATTCGACAGGGGTTGCTATTTAAAAATGTACGAGTGGTCACCTCCTAAAAAAACTTCACATTGCATGGAAGTTCTAAACTATCTAAGAATGTAGTTTAAGAATTACTCTTCAGTGATCCCCAAATTTTCAAATTTTTTTCTTCATTACTTCAAAACTTATAGCTCCGCCCCGGAAGTTTTGAGAAGCCCTGTATAGGTAATACCACAGTATATATAACAGACAGTACTCTCACTCAGTGGCGGCACGTTTGATGTGGCGAATTGATTTTCAATGACCTCGAAGCCATTATTCTGGCATAAAACACAACAGGTCCGCATTAAAAATATTTAAAACGTCGAAAATATTAAATTAAAAAAGTTATTCGCAATTAAATTTCTGAACTGATAAAAACATTAGTTATTGAGTTATATATTATATAAGTAATAACGTCATTATTTATAATATTTGATATTTTATTTTAATCTTTACACTTGTCGTTACGGCTCTGCACAAAAACAAACCTCACAGACACACTGGCGATTAGCAAGATTTAAACCAGCGTAATGGCCGCTCGCCTGCGTAATGAGGGCTGCGCATATCTTCCCGCCAAACCGAGTGAGAGTACTGTCTGTTATTTATACTGTGGTAATACCTACTTACACGGGGGAATAAAAAGTCTGGAACACCTGAAATATCTTCAAAACGAGTTTCTTTTTGAAAAAATCCTTTCAGGTGTCAAAGACTATAATAAATTTGTCGTCTTTTCCTATGTCTAAATTTTTTTAACAGTGGCGTACATTTTCGGGGTCAAAGGGGGCAACATTTTTTTAAATGGCTATCCCAATTTTTTATGCGATAGTGTGAAAGAATACATTTTTTTGAGTATCTTACAGCAAATTTTGCATTAGGTTACATAAGACAAATTTTGCGAAAAAATTTTTTTTTTATTAATAAATATTTGATTTGGAAAAATTTCTAGTAGGCGTTGCAATTCCCATTTTTCATTCCATAGCATGCAAGGCCACTTGATTTTAAGAGTAACCTTTGTATTACGTTGCCAGGTAATAATTGTATGAAAAGAAATACATTTAAAGCAGAAAAATTGATTTTATTTACATGCAAAAGAAAACAGAAAATGTCCATGAATAAGATGCTCAAACTGTTCTCCATTTATTATTTGACAGTGCCCAAACCTAAAAATAAACTCATCTTGCACTCTATCAATTATGTCCGGTTTTTGCCATTTTTGTGGAAAAATATCATCCAAATACGTTCGAACGGGAAGGGCATAATGATGAGGTGGTGCGCCGTCCTGCTGAAACCATAGTTGTTTATCGAATTCGTGCATCTGAGTATATCGCTATTAGTGTTGGAACCACAACCGTTTCTCACTATACCAGCCCAAACATTTACTTTTCTTCGAAACTGTGTATGAGTCTCCTACGGTTTCACTTAAAGAAAAGGTAGCTTCGTCCGAAAAAAGCAATATTTCTCGTAAAGATTGGGTCATTATTACACAGAATTTGCAAAATTGCAGTCGACGGTCAAAATCATCTTCTACTAGTTCTTGAGTTAGTGAAATTTTATAACGATGGAATAGACAACCTAAGCCTTGACGTCATAGAGATGGGCGGAGTTTATACCGACTCCAAATATTTGCGTTGCTAACTGTGTTACTAACGGTAAATCACCATATGCAATTTTTCAATTAGTGTTAAAATAAAATAAACTAAGTAACTTTTTAAGGTCCATTACTACCACCTTTTAGTTAAATTTATCTTATAGATAAACCCATCTAGTAGCCAATCAGAGCGCGTAAAATAGATATGTAAATGAAATAGATAACCTAAGCCTTGACGTCATAGAGATGGGCGGAGCTTATACTGACTCCAAACATTTTCGTTGCTAACTGTGTTGCTAACGGTAAATCACCATATACAATTTTCCA